TCGTCCGGGTGGTTGCCCGGCGGCAGCGGCCCCCCCAGCGGGGCGCCCAGCAGCGTGTCGCCGTCGGCGTGCCAGCGGTTCTCTAGCCCTGGTCGGACAGGCGAGCGGGGAGACCAGGCCTGCGCCTTCCGCTGCTGCAGCTCGAGCCCCAAGCGCCCCAGCGTTGCCTCCGCAGTCGCCTCGGCCTCGCTTGCCAGGGCGGGCGGCACGAGGACGACGACGTCGTCGATGTGGGCCAAGGCGCGGACATCGGCTGCCCGCAAGCCGCGGTCTGCCGCCCACAGCTTCAGCTCCTCTTCGAGTGCCTTCAGGGGGGAACGGAGGCCGCAGGCGAAGAGGATGGACGCGAGCGGGTCCCCCTGGTCTTCGCCGTCCGCAGAGCCAAGGCATTGGCAATCTCCTCCCCAACCCTGGAAATAGTGCTGGGAGCGGCGCCGGCAGAAGAGGTTCGCGAAGGGGAGAAGCTCCAGCGCCGCCTCCTCCAGTTCGACCAAGCAAACATCGCGGTGCGCGGTCCCGTAGGCGTTCTTCTCCTCTTCTTATTCTTCCTCCTCCTCCTCTTCTTCTTCTGCTGCTGCTCCTCCTCCTCCTCCTCATTCTTCTTCTTCTTCTCCTCCTCCTCCTCCTCCTCCTCCTCCTCCTCCTCCTCCGCCGCCGCCTCCGCCTCCGCCACCGCCTCCGCCTCCGCCTCCTCCGCCTCCGCCTCCTCCTCCTCCTCCTCCTCCTCCTCCTCCTCCTCCTCCTCCTCCTCCTCCTCCTCTCTCTCTTCTACCTCCTCCTCCCCGCTCGACGGCTGTGGGCAGGCGCTGCGAGGCTCCTCGAAAGGCAGGGAAATGCCCAGGCCGGTCGATTTGCCTCGGCGGCCGCGGTGCGTCTTGGCAGCTCGCCCAGGCGTGGTATGCGCCCCCCCCCGACCCCCGCCCGCGGGGTGGAGAGGGGAGGAGTGGGGAGCAGCGATGAGGAGTAGGCTGAGGAGAGATGAGAACGAGGGGAGGGGTGAGGGGCAGGAGGGAGAAGGGGTG